CCTGTGATAGGGCAGCAGCAGTTGAAGTTTCCCCCCTCTTGCTATTGGTTAGCCAATTACCTGTTATAGCACGTCAATCAAAGGGTAAGCTATCGGTTCTGTCTTTCATATGACTAGAAACTTGACCGGTCTTAATGCCGTCAAGTGTAGAGCCTATGCGCCTGACCGACGTCCTGCGTTTGACTCCTGCTTTCTCAGGCGATCAAGACAGCATACCTCAGGTCCGAGAATCAAGTCCCTGCCTTAGCAGACTGTATCGAACCGGATTCTGGGCTCACCTTTCCATCTCCACCCCTCCTTCACTGCTTGTGGTTAGTGAACAACGTTGAATGAAGGACAGTGGAAATGAACCCGTGCGACTTACATCTCGGTCGTTTTGTCTGGATGGTCAGGGAGGATGTTTTCGTGAAGCCGCCGATGGCCCATTCTTTGGGGTGTGTATAGATAATCTCAAACGACCTGGGAGTGGGGCAGGGGCGAGGGTTGCTGGACTCAGTTCAAACGCTTAGGGGGTACTACTCTCTGACGAATAATTACCTTTCCATCAGATGGACCTTGTCGGCAAAGACAAGGGAAACTGGAATGGCCATTTCTGGCTCATTGGTCGTTACTCGCTATCTACTGGCCGCTTGAATCCATGGAACAACGTTATCGGGTTCATTGTGAGATGAACATTTCGGGTGAAAATTATCTGAGGGGGCCGACACGAGCTATTTGGCGCTTATGCTATCTTGATTCAGCTACTCCTAATCCCAATTACCATCTGCGACCAGAAACACGAGCATGCACTCATACAGGGAGCAGTTAGTTTCCATACAGGGTCTAGCAGATAGGTCATAAAAGTTTCATTGAAAAGCTGTGCATCGGTGCCTTGCTATCTGTCGTTTTCTGATCGTGCATTTATTCCATCCGGAGTAGGCAAACACAGTTTTAAAAAGAAGATAAAAAAAGATAAGCATGGATGGTAAAAGTTACGAACACGGAATCAAGTTATAACAAGTTATGCTAACAGTTGCGATTGAGATCGCAGTTTCAAAAAAACACCCCTTAAATAAGTGAACCTGGTAGTTATCCTTTGGATTCTAGATTGATTGCTAACGAATTTCAGCTCGAGGGGTCAGCTTACTGTGTCCGAATCGGCGTATTCCATACACTGCAGGAGGTTGGACGAGAAAGTTTCTATTAAATTCAAAACGTCAAGTCGACGGTTTGTAACCAAAGTGCATAGATCTTTGGCTGCGTTGCCCACGGAGAACACAGAATGTCTCATAAATTGTTCAAATGAAGGTAGAATAAGCCCGTAACAGTCCCGTTTCAATCTACCCGCATTCTGTGTAGTGCCCATTTGTGCCATAATCATTTGGCCAACTGTGGCCTAGCAATTTATTGCCCTTTTGTGATCTTTGCCACTCATACAGAGCTTGGTTGCGTCGGACGGCCTATATGTCACGTTGCGCCCATGCCTAACTCAGCATAGATTACGTTTGACATTTACTAGGAAAGAAAACCTACCCGTAGTCATTCCGGATCAGAATTGCACACAAAGGGGACGGCAACAGCACCCCCTAGTTTTTGTACCTGGTTGTGATTGGCTCATCTTTCACCAGCAGAATACGTTTTCTCCAAACGTCTATAGTGAAAGGTTGCATCGAGTTTCACGTCGCGTTTCAGCATGATGAGTTGCTATTGCATGAAGACTGTAAAGGCGAGGGATTTGGGCATTTATTCTCTGAAAATTTGATCCCTATCCCTCAAACGTGTCCAAACCCTTTTTGGTTCCTCCCTAAACCCTGCTTTTGAACTATTTTCTCGTCTTCGATAGGTCAGTCGGTCAGTCAGTGAATCAAACAAATCCCAACTGCAGTTGGAGGAGATTTCTTGTTAGATCTCAGCCTTCGTTAGCCATTGGGCCAGTACCCACCAATTGAACTATGGGTACACTTACAATCAGCGGGGCCTAGACGTCTTCAAGGTCAAATGGGGTCAGACTAATTAACTTTACCTGGTTTTTGGAGGGAGTGCGTGTGTGCTTGCAATCCGATTATTTCGCAGCCTAAACCGTCTCGAGAACAGAAACCGCCTGTTCCGTTTCCGGCAACAGATGGACAGATTTTACATCACGAACGACCGAAACCAGGAAAAGGTTGTTTAGGTCCCAACTTTTGTGTGGCAATTGTGGCAAGTGAACAACTGCAATTTCAGCTTTTTACCGCAACCAGTCGACCCTACT